ATCTCACCTTCTACACTTTCACGAGCAAAGCACACTTTTGACCCAATACCAAAAGCGTGCCCCGTTTTCCGGTCCTCTGTATTTTTTATTTTATTTTTGTTATTTTTCGTAGTTCAAATATAGAAACAATTTTTAATAACGATAATTTTTCCTTAGTTCAAATAAAAAAATTATATTTATTCTAAAAAATATATTTAAAGACAAATTTAATTTAATAGGAAAAATTATGATATATATACCCTCAACTTTAATTTCAAATACAAATCAAGGTGCAAATTAATTGTGAACAAATTATTCTTCTTATATATTACATTTTCAAGATAATTCTCTAATTAAGATCAAGTGAAATTCAATTCTCGTGTTAAAGATTCACACTAGAGTCGTCCACACAATCGTACAAAATACACGGGGTATTTAGATTTCAACATCACAATAAGTTGTTACACAAAGATGAAACTATATTAATGTTTCTCAATGACAATTTTTCTAACAAAAATCGGGCCTCGATCTCTTCCGAACCGAAATGCAACCCCTCTGATGATCACGAAGAACCTTAATCTCCGAAAAGTCCTTCAAGTCCTCAAGACTTATGTATTGCTGTTTGACCATCCTCGAAAAATCGCAGCCCGTGTCGTGAATCCAAATGTAAGGATGGCACGTCTCGTCGTAGTAGTAAAGCAAGCTCATGTGGCCACTGCTATTGTCACTCCCTTTATTGCTCTTATTTCCGGGCATGTAGGCCTTGTAGATGTTCTTGCCCTTGAGCCTTTTGGATGACCCGGGTTTCAACGTGTGGACCCTTTTCAGTATCGAGCCGACGCGTATCTGGAGCTCGATGGGGTTGTTGCTCAAGTTCCAGATTCTCGTGCCGTGGCCCGAGACCTGAGTGTTGTCCCTGCATCCATTGAAGCATCTCAAGAATGTGATGAGGCTGAGGTTTTTCATTTGTGAGTTAGTTTTCTTTTTGTTATTGTTGTTGTTGTGAGGAGTTTAGTGAAGAGATGGACTTGAATGGGATATTTGTGGTGATGGAAGTCATATATGGGGCAATGGGTTTTTTGGGTTTTTTTTTAATTATTAATTTTTTTTTTTTTTTTGGATATCATGTAAGAATGTGTGGGGTGAGTTTGAGGATATTCTTTTGTTTATTATATTATATTTTGTGTAGGGACCATTGAGCTTCCATTGGGTAATTAGTAAATTGAAAGAAGCATGAATTTGGTCTAACTTATGAATGGGTAGTTACTACGGGAGATTCTACGGTCTTGTTACGGAATCATTTCATCGGAGTTTGTAACCGTTAGATTAACTATCCACAACGATTACATGATGATCTAACGGTTACAAATTCCGACGGAATGATTCCGTAACGGGACTGTAGCACTTCCACGTTACATAATAGCTCCTGATATGTTTTAGGTGTTAAATAAAGAAAGAATTGTGATATAAAAAAAAAGTGAGAATGGAACAACTTCATTTTCTTTTTATGTGAGAATGGAAAAGAAATGAGTGTAGTGAGCACTCAAAACTTGTTGATGGGGTTTGCATTATGATTTTGCCCCATGCCTAATCATTGTGCTCTTCTTGCCTTTTTATGTTTAATTTGGAGAGATTTTTATTTTTTTCTTGTCCAATTTTCTTTTTTTTTTTTATTTTAAGAATGGGCTTGGCATGGTGGGGTCAAGACCCACCACCATACCATACATTAGGTAGTAGAAGTCACAAATTATGTCATTGCCAAAATTGTACTATTAAAATACCCAAAACATTTTCTTATAATATTAAAACTAGTACAATACTCGTGTATTATACGTGTATCTGATAAAATATTAAACATACGACAAATAATAGTAGAAAAAATATTTATATATTTGATTGAAGTTGGAAAAAAATAAATGAAGAACAATATATAACAATTTATAATAAAGAACTAAGTGAACTAACGATATTATTTTTAAATAATCAAACATAATCTATATACATCATCATTAATATTATTTATTAATTTTTATTTAAAACACATAAGAAAATAATATGGACAAAACAAATAATTTGGAAAGTAAGATAATATATATATGCAAATTATAGAAATAAAATAATAAATAACTTATATGGAATAGTTAAAATATATGTATTTATGGCTATCCAAACTTGAAAACAAGAAGAAGTTCGGTATTTCATAGGATAAATATACATTTTTGCGAAACAAGTATGACAAGTCGATCCGCCCAACGGTTAGATCACTTCACACAAAAATTTGTATTGTAATTTTTGCAGGACCATCCATTATGAACATCCCCTTGTAGCTATGAAGTTTTATCAAACTCAGACACTTGTGTCAATTCGGGACTTATCACCACAAATTACATATAAAAGTCGAAAATTTCTCTGTACCAAGAGAGAAACCTTTGAATGAAACTATCCCGGCTATACATAAGAAATGTCAAGCACCCCTCAGATGAAAGTTTGCTAAAAAAACGAGCAAAGGATTCAGTCGAGAATTTACACGTAAAAATGAACTATTTTCCGTGATTGTCTTGATTGGTATCAATCTGAATTATAAGTGGCTCGTTGAGATTGACGGCAGGGATAGCCGTAACAGGTAGCTGTGGTGAAAAGATATTCCCGTCCACATCCAAGCCCTCGTTTTCTGCCAATGCCTTCTCTAAAGCAGCCTTTGCAACTCTCATAACACTAAATAATAACATAGCTGCAACAGCAAATCGGTCAATATGACGTCGGTCAAAATAAAATTGAAAAGAACGAAAGGAAACATATACTTTTTTTCCTTAGAGTAAATAAGGGGCACTTTTAGATCTCTGATTCTGCTCCTAGTCTGATTTTACAATTAATTAGCAAATACTCTTTCAACTAATTCTAATCATTACTTCTATTTGCAAACACGGCAGACTTACAATTCTCCGCAACCGAAAATTAAAAAAAAAAAAAAAAAAAAAAAAAAAAAAAAAAAAAAAGATAAAATTCAGTCATTCTAAGAGTATAAATCTTTACAAAGGGCTAAGGCTACTTATTTGCAACAATCAAGATTTAAGCCATTTGAAACTTACCAGACACCACAAGGCCCAACACAATAAATGCCTGCAGCAAAGTAAAATAGAATATATGAGGTTAGGTTTACTTAAACATCACCAACTGATTTATTAAGGTCTGCATATAATGTCACATTTAGAATCAGAGCCATTTCGATTATTCATTCAACTCGAAACACGCTATCTCTCTTTCCTCTTTCAAATGATATATGTTTCAAAATCAGAGAAAAATATGAAAAGAACCAAAACGCATAAAATCCGGATAAAAGAACTAGGGAAGATAGGTAAAAGAACCAAAAACTCTATGATTTTTTATCTCCTTAATAATTGTCTCCAAACACAATGTGACAAAAGACCTCTTACCCAGCGGGTTTTTGAAAAATCGTGCCATCCATGTGTAACATCTGATAGATCTTTCAGAGTTGTTCCAACATAGACCAGCGCAAATGTGATGGGCTGTAAAACAAACATCAATGGGCACACCATAAGCAGATATATATACAGGAAAAACAAATCTATAAGGCATGCGTAAAGAAAGAAAAATTATAAACATAAGGTTCCATTGATTACATAAATATGGAATCATTACAAAATCTCAGGAAAACAAAAAATCATGACGTTATTTTATACTACAAATAATCTACATACCAACATGCCCAACCATGAAGCCAGCATATACTGAGTTATAGGCACGGATGTGACAGACAAGAGATAGTTCAACATGTTAAAGGGAAGTAAAGGAACCAGCCTGAGCAACAAGACAATCTGCAAAGTGGCACAAGACAATTTTATATAAGCACGAGATGGATTATTAACACCCATCATATTTCAAAGCAAAATTGAATCATTAATAGATTGAAAATACACATGAACCTTGAATCCCGATCTGTGAGTCGCAATAGCAACTGCACGGAACTTGGGATAGTCCCGTAACTTGGAAATAACATATGACCTCCCTATCTGTTAATAATTAGGAAAAAGGGAAAAGTTGATATTAATATCTGAGAGACTGTGCCCTAGCACGTTCATATGGTCAAAAAATTAGAAAAATTGAGGAAAAAGTTAGACGAGAGATGAAAAATGATGCTATTACATTAAATCAAGTAAATTACCGTTCGTCCAAGAAGAAATGCAGCGCCAGCACCTATTGTTGCACCAATAGAATCAGCAACAAGCCCCACAGGCAAGCCAAAGAGATAACCGCCACCGAGCTGAAAAACATAATAGAAGTACTGAGTTAGGCTTTTAGTTCAGTTAGGAAAATGTAAGAAGAAAAAATTTCAGTTTATATATGCATCATTTGAAATTACAAAGTTGATCAAATCTATTTAAATGCAGGTGGATTATAAATTAGCAAGTAAAAGTGACAACGACGCTAGGGAAGTATTTCGGAAAATGATTTATTATCAGATTGAACTTTATTGTATAATTATGACATTGTAGGTTTCATGTCGTATAGAATCCAAGTGTATCTCATATAACCTGCAGAACTATAAAGAGAGTCTGGAAAACTGAACCCTATTCGATACTTGAAAAATGAAAATATAGTTGATTAGTTAAAAACACCATAAATGAAATATTCAAACAAACCTGATCACGATAGGTCAAGTGTTTTATGAATAAAACTCCATATTAGAAGAAAGGGGGGAAAAAAAAGAGGGGAAGGGTGAAAAACAAAATCGAGAAAAAGGAAAAGCCAATATTAATCCTTACAGTTAGTATTGATGCTGGAACTGCCAGCACTGTTAAAGGAATGTATGCAACAGCTCTGCAAGATCCAATCCGCGAGTGAGTCCCATAATGACATTAAAATAAAGTTTCAAACATTCATTAAGCAACTTAATCTGCCATACATTGACAAATACAGATACTAGATCTTTTAGTAACACATGAAACAATAACATCTGTGCATAAACAAAAGCATCTAAACTCTATGAGGTGGTGCCTTGTACCTATTACCAATGAGTAGTAGTAAATGAATACACTTGAAGGCAAAAAATTACATCATCATCATCATCAACATCAACATACCCAGTATATTCCCAACAGGTTGGGGTCTGGGGGGTCAGTTGTACGCAGACCTTACCCTTGTAATTATACAAGGAGGCTGTTTCCATAGCGACCCAAGGTGTGTTGCGTCGTTTGATATATTTTTTCTAGAAACTTCACTAATAGAAGAAGCACTAGAATTTAATTGAGTCATTTTGATCTAGTCCATTCTTAGCACTATGCTAGGAGAATTGTCAACAATGACTCTTCCAGCTCCATATGCAATGGACATGAAGGCAAAAAATTACAATATAAGAAAACCATCCCATCAATTATAATACTGTAAATTGAATTTTCTAGTGAAATATTCATATTAAGATTAAGAAAATTTAATGTCTAGTTGGTATTCAATATAAAGTCTAATGATGAAAAATTGATTTCCAATCTTATGTTTACACAATGGAAGTTGAACAAAACTAAAGCAATAGCAGATTGCTCTCTTTCTTTGTGCTTTTTTTTCTGTTTCCCTTTTCAGGCTGTATATTAGGGAGAGGGCGTAGATACACATTGATCAAACCAATGTCAAGTTCCCTGAAAGCACAAGTTTGAAGCTTCTACAACTGAAGAACAAGATTCGTCCCAAATAATAGTAGTTAAGGCATATGTCTACAACTGAAGAACAAGATTCGTCCCAAATAATAATAGTTAAGGCATATGTTTCAACCATGTAAGTCTTCCAATAAATAAATGCTACTAAATCAATTCAAGCATAAAGAAAACCAAAGGTACACATAAAATGGATATTGTCACCATATAGCGCAAAAATATAAGACCAGGGTTAAATTTACATCCTGCACCAAAATAGGGCTAGCTTTACTAAAAGCGAGTATTGTATTGATCAAATCAACATTCTAAAAAAAATATTATGATAACCATAGGTCATATTAATGAATATGATTCATCTTCTTTCACTTCTGCCATTCTACTTGTTCAAGTAAATCTAACACTAATTAATCTCATTTTAATGCAAAATGAGAGTGGCATCAAGAAACAAGCGAGGTAGATAAAACGTTCATCTTTAAGCACATCTAAACCAACTTAACGCACACGAGCACATAAAAACTACACTTACAGTACTATAGGACCCCAGGGACCAAGATCTTGCTCTATCCATACTAAGAAGTCCTTCAATATCTGAAAATCACAGAAGATATGATTAAAAGAACCATTTGTAACAGTGTTATTCAAAGAAATCCAACCAAACAAATAATCTGCCATCATTCGAATCACTGAATGCTTGCAGTAAGTCAACTAAGTGGACACTGAGAATTACCTGAAGTTATCATGCAATTTGCATCACTTCAGTTACTGAGGCAAAATAATCTACATTTGTTCCCAATTTGTTACCTAAATAAATGCCTTTTGGTTTCTTAAAGTAAGAACTTATAAGCCATGTCTCAAAACGTCGAACAAAGATAAGGAGAACACACCATAAAGAAAAAGGAAAACAAACAGAAGACCACATATGCGAACGGCAATTGCCAAATCAATTCGAAAGAACATCGAAACCACACCAATCAGGCAACGCCAACAAAAACCAAGAACACAATAAGCATCTACACCAACACCAGCCTAGAAAGCCCACAATCATAATCACACTAACAAGAACATTTCAATGCAAAATATAGATAATAACAGAAACCCTATACAAAGTAGGCAAAGAACATCAACCTTTTCAATCGGGAGAGTAAAACAAGCTGTCGCGATAGCCCCAATCAGCCCCACGAGCAGAACGATTTTCAGAAGTGAAACCCAGCTGAATTTGAAATTCATTATAAGGGAATGTGGAGAAAGGAAAAAGATCTTCTTGCGCCAAGGCCTGCACACTTCTTCTTCTTCAGGATCCTCTGGCAAAGCTTGCTTCAATGACAAGCGAGGCCTCAAATTAATTCCCCCTAAATTTGCCAGATTGACTTGGCAAAAAGGGCACAGAAAATATACTGAACGGGAGGAGAAGATCACTGCTAACGGGAAAAACCCTTCATTAGAAATGGATAATGCTGCAAGCTTTTAGGTTCCGCCATAGATGAAAGTGATTTCCCCACAAACACAAGCTATTCTGTGTATGTCTTATATACGTGAAAATGAACGAAATCAATTAATCCTTTTTTCCTTATTATAAAAAATGAGATCTTTGAAGAGATGATGAAAAATAAAAAAGAAAATTTTGGTGTGAATGTGAACTTTGTGTTTGCAAGAGGCGTTTTCACTGTTAACAAAACACGTGGTTCGAACCAGTCCGTGGGCCGCTTGTGGTCCTACCCGGTTCGATTCTGGATTAGTCGGTTCTCCTGTAAATCCAGAAACTTGAAGGTCCTTATACTAAAAAAAAAAAACATATTTTGACCTTTTCTTTTTCTTCGAAAAGATAAATATTTTGACCGTTTGTTTTACGTTAGCACGGACTATTCTTTGGGTGAGTCTCGCAACAAATATTTTTTTGCATCCACAAGGAGACTTTGCGTAAGAGACATCAAACTATTTACCACTTGAGCCAATTTATGTTGGTTACTCTAGCGGACTTTACTCTATAATAGAGTGAAACATTCATCTCCAACCTTTATATTTACATTTTACTCTACATCTAATATATTATTTTTATTCATTTTTATTTTTGTATTTCATGATTTATTATGTTGTTTTTATTTGTATGTTTTATAACTTACGTTTGTTGTAAACTTTTAATTTTAATAAAATATTTTGGCTGTGTCAATTTTTTATTTATATGGTACTATTTTAATATTAAAAAAATTATAAAATAAAAATATTATACATCAATATATAAAAAGCATAAAATGTGACTATATATGTTTAACAAAATACACTAATATACACCAATACAACAATATATATATATATATGAGGCAGATCAAATGAAGACGACTCTTAAAATGAGGACATCTCTTAACCATTGATTTTGTTTTGATCAATGGCTCAGATTAAGTAATTGGAATACTTATGCGAAATAAATATGTGTAGTTTTTTTACAATAAATATGTCTCTCGTGTACAGTGTTTTTGCATCATTGTTCCAATAACCATGCAACATTTTTACACTAACTGTGCGATGCTTTATCACTAACTATGCAACATCGTTTTTGCAATATTGTTTCAATAACCATGCAATATTTTGACACTAACTTGCAACACTTTATCACTAACTATGCATCAATTTTACACTAACTTTGCAACACTTTATCGCTTACTATGCAACATATTTTTTACATCATTGTTTCAATGACCATGCAACATTTTTACACTAACTATGCAACACTTTATCACTAACTATGCATCATTTTTACACTAACATTGCAACACTTTCTATCTTGTTGCAGGGTTAGTTTTTTGTTGTTGCTAGGTTAGTTGTATATAGTTGTAAGGTTAGTTGTATCTAGTTGCAATGTTAGTTATTAGTAGTTGCAATGCAATGTTAGTTTTATGTTGTTGCAAGGTTAGTTTTATATATCTAGTTGTATTTATTTGCGATGTTAGTTGTATTTTTTGCAAGGTTAGTTTTTTTAGTTTTAGGTTACTTGTATTGAATTGCTAGTTTATTTATATTTAGTTACAAGGTTAGTTGTATATTGTTGCCAGGTTAGTTCTCTGTATGTACTAGGTTACGGGCATTTATTTTCAAAGTTATTTTCTATAGTTACAAGGTTATTTGTCTGTTGTTGCAAGGATATGTGTCTTTCTTTGCAAAGTCAGTTGAACTTAGTTGCAAGGTTAGATGTTTTTTGTTGCAAAGTTATTTCTCTGTAGTTGCTAGATTAGTTATATTTTGCAAGGTTAGTTTTCTATAGTTGCAAGGTTATTTATTTGTTTTTGCAAGGATAGGTGTCTGTATTTGCAAGGTTAGTTGTATGTAGTTGCAATGTTAGTTATTTGTAGTTGCAATGTTAGTTACATGTAGTTGCAATGTTACTTATCTGCAATTGCAATGTTAGTTATATCTAGTTGCAAAGTTACTTGTCTGCTGATGCAAGGTTCGTTATATCTAGGGTCAACGGGTCAACGCCAGAAGTCAACGATTTTCGCTGGAAGTCAACGTCGGAAGTCAAAGGTCAACACCGGAAGTCAACGGTCAACGGTCAATGGTCAAAATAATATTTAAATAATTAAAATAAAAAATACTATTTATATAAAAAGTTAAATCTTTGCCACAAATCTTGATACCCTTTTAGTGGCTAGGATTGAGTCTCATGTACTCATTTAAGAATGTGTCCTCATTTTTATTTAAAAATTATATTCAACAAATATTTTTGTAATGTCTGAAAGAACATACAGGGATATAGATACAAACAATAAATATAGATATCAAGATTAGTTTGTTTAATATAATATATTTAATAGTATTTTATAATGTATAATTGGGGTAATGCTTATAAATATATATATATATATATATATATATATATATATATATATATGTGTGTGTGTGTGTGTGTGTGTGTGTTTATATGTTTTCAATACACTTTCACACGTAAAATAAAACAAAACACAAAAAAACATCTGGCATTGCACTGTATATTTATCTGAAATAGCGTCAAAATATGGCGTTGCGTTGGAATTCAATATTAACACAACTCTAGCATAATTCTCTACTCCAACGCAGCGTTGGAATTGGTCTTACTTCAAACACTATATGATTATACAATTCTAGTTAAAAAAATTATAATGAAATTATAAAAATAAAAGGTACATAATAAAGAATTATTTATTGACATTTCAAATATTTTTTCAAAAAAACATATTTATTATTTATATTTAAAATAAAACTTTAATCTTGTTACGACAAGTTGAGTCACGAACGGATTAAATAATAAAAAATATTTATATTTATAAAAACTGCAAACATAGAGCGATAATTTCATAGTATATATAGCAGAACTGAAATTATGAGGGGTAATAAAACCCGCCCCATAAAATTAACATTTTATGAAATCAGTGCCCCAAGGAGTAGGATCGAATTTCAAGACTTCTTCATAATAATTTTTATCAATATTAGCGTTAACATTTTTAGATGAACAAGAAATAAAGTGATAAGAAAAAATGAGACTCTTTTCGCATATTTTTTCGTGTAATTAAACTCAAGATTATGCAATGGAACAATTTAGTTCTTGCATTCTCAAATATTAAAACTTCTTGTACTTCGACTTCATGCTAGATCAATCGATTTTGACCAACCTAAAAGACGAACATAATTTATGACTGAACTTAGAAAACATCTAAGCTGTCTATGTAACTTTTAAAAAGATCAAGTCACAACGTAGTTCAATGTAACATCAACATGAATTTATTTATGGGGGGTGTCGTGCACAATTTATACTAATGCATGCCAAGAGTGACTATTCTTTGACAACTTTAGACAAGTTAGAGTATTAAGTTTAACCACATAACACCATAGTGGAAGAATCTAGCGTTGAACCACACGTATTCACATTGGTAAGAAATTTAGTAGTTTAATAACATGCAAAGTCTTTTAGTGATTACCGTTCACAATTTATACTCACACGGATCAGGAGTTCTTTTATCTTCTTTTTTTTGGTACAGCTATCGAATAATAGCATTTTAAATACTTCATATTGATAGGACCAACTACCAAACCATCCTCAGCTACCAACTTTTAGGCGTCATTGGCATAAACATCCCTCACAGCATATGGACCATCCTATTACTGTGAACTTATTCCGAGCATGATCGAATTTTCGTTCTTCAACCCTTCTTGCAATGCTATCCTAAATGACGAAATTTGCTGCTTAAGGAGAACAACTGGTTCCACACAATAGAAAAGTGCATAAGGAGTGGTTTGGGTTGGTGTCCTAAAAGTGGTTCGGTATGTGCACAAGGACTCCCCGATCCATTCATGCCAATCTCATTTTGATTAACTACTTTTTTCAAAAAATTGCACAAAGTTTTTTTGAATGCTTCAACAAGTCCATTGGTCACACTATTATACATAGAAGTCTTTCATTTGGAACCAAATTTTTCAAAAAAGCATGTCAATATGGCTGTTTGAAAACGAATTTCCATTATCTTTTACTATATATCAAGGGATTCTATATCGATAGATGCTATTGATGCGGATAAAATTAGAGACATTTTATTTTTTCACTTCCTTGAGAGGCACTGCTTCATCCCACTTGGAAAAAAAATACTTTGCAGCCAAAATATATAGGTGACCACCAGAAGACTTTGTCATAAGTCCAACTACATCAAGACCACACATATCAAACGGACATGAAGCAACAATATGATGTAATGATTTGGGTGATTGGTGAATAAAGTTTACATGAAATTGACTATGTTGACATCTTTGGGCATAGTCCATGCAGTCTTTAACCATCGTCTGCCAAGAGTACCCCACTCTTGATCCGAAAATGTACCTTCGGGCTTGATTCGGGAGCACCACAAATTCTAGAATGAGCTTAAATTTTCCATTCACTAGTGGAACATTTTTCATATCGGTTAAAAATCATATCCACATCGGTTAAAATTTTAAAGACGATGTTGAAACAGACGTTGTTAAAAGTCTGTCTTTTTTACATCAATTTTAAACTGATGCGAAAAAAATACTTGCTCACATCGATTTTCACAACAACCGATGTCATAAGGGAAAAAATAGGCCTCGAAAATAGAATAAATCGATTTTATTAAAACCTTTTTACATCGGTCGTTTAACAACTGATGCGAATTCTAGTAATATGACATCTGTTAACAAAATAACCAATGTTGCATGTCTTTATTTACATTGGTTTTATCACTAACCGATGT